AACTCCTGCCCAAAGTACTCTAACTTAGTTGGGGTGTCTACTCTATGCTTTCACATACCCATGACGTCGGCATAATTGAAGGATTTGAATTTCAGAAAGAAGTGTTTTAAGGGTTTGAGGGACCTCGGCTAAAACCTAAAAGTGTACTATGGTAAGAGTTTGTGTGGATCTAAAGGAAATTCGTTTAAGTTTTTCCTAAGCTTCGTAAATTCTATAGACAAATCCCAATCCTAAAGTCTAGGCAAGTGAAAATTGAAGGCAAGAATCTGGAAAAAAACACGGCAAACAGAAACAGAAACGTGATTCAGAATTGAGAATGATGATGAAGCCATCAAGAAACAGAAGACAAAAGTTTGCACAGGTGTGTCAGGCCAAGAACAGTGGCAGAAGTCAACAAGTGTGTGAACAGTGCGTATTCAAAGAGACGAATTGGGTAAAAACAGAATCATGAAACAAACGTGTTCAGATACATATACAAGATAAAATACCAAAGACATGAGGAGGATTGTAGAGGCAGCAAGTAAAACAGTGGAGTTTAGTAAAGAAAAACAAGAAACTAAAACAAGAAGTTAAATCGGGGAGAAATAGTAACTCACCGAAGAAAAGTGAAGCCGGTATTGAGTATGCCGGAGTCAAACGATGGCAGCAAACGGAAAAGATCAACAAGAGCCTCACCGGAGGAGGTAAACGGCGATGGTTGCAGAGCTTGACGATCTTAGAACAATGGCGAATTTGGGAAAGGAAAGAGAGAGAGTGTGCACGAGAATGAAGATGCAAAAGTGAAGCGACGAAGAGAGAGGGAACCAGTTTTGTCAAAAACTCGAAGAGGCGACAAAAAAGCAATTGATGTGCCTAGAACAATGCATTTGTTAGACGGCGCACGCAGGCGCGAGGTAACTTAATGATGCGTATCAGACACGGTCCAGTGGGTTAAAAACACGTGGCAGAAACAGTTGAAATGTTGTGCGTAACAGCTCATGCGCGTGATAGAACTCTTGGAGCTATGATTTGATAAAGTTAAAACCTCGGCGATGAGGGCGATCTCGGCTAAATAAAATTGAACAAGCTAGGTTTTTTGTTCTAAAACCTTGATGAGACAGGTTACAGGTCCTGGTCGTGTGAAGCTGACGAATTATAACCTCGATAATGGATGATAGAGCAAGATGACTGACATGCTATTCGATGTGATGATATAGGTTCCATCACCTCAGGATGCCGAGGTAATAGAACCTAGGGGGCAGTTGTGAGGACATATTTTTCGAGTACCAACACGTGACCAAGGTGACGCCGAAGTGTCAGTCGAAGTGTCACGTGTCCTGGTCATGACGCCGAGATCATCTCGGCTAGGCCGAGGTCATCTTCGAAGATATCGGAATCCGGGATAAGCGGATAAGGGATAAGAGTCCTAGAATGAGAGAAGACTTCAGTTTGGGTAAAGATAAGACTCTTAGAGAGTTTATCCTAATCCTACTGGGAGTCCAAGATTAGCAATAATCCTAAGTTCATTAGAGTTAGGCTTCTATTGGGACTAGGATTGTGTTGGCTATAAAAGAGAGGCACCCCCATGGGTCTAAGATACGCAATTTATATTCTGAATAGTGAGTTAAGCACTTTTGCTATCTTTGAGAGATAACTGACTTGATCATCGAAGTGCCCCCGGGTGGACGAACTACCGCTGGAATCTCTTTTTTCTGTTGCAGGTCATTCAGGCGCCATCTATTCCGCCAGTGCTCCCTAGTTGAATACTAAGTTGGCAGTGTGGTCAGAAATTCACTTACACACTAGTTTTTGACAATTTTCACAAAAAAAAATTAAAAAGGAAAAAAACAGAGTATTTTTCAAAAACGTCCCAGGCTTTATCATTAGCAAAATATGATAAAAATAAAAAATTTACAATTCAATAGTCAAATTAATTTTTTGTATAAACAATATACATTATGTTTATTTTATGTTACAAAAAAAACAATTCACATCATTAAAGGGACTCATGGTATGTATCACATGCTAAGTTTAGATTTAGGGATAGGATTTTGTACAGGAAAAGCACTATCCCAACTTTTGGGGTTTATTATGGGTCTTGTTTCAATTCTTCAAACTGTATATTTTTTGATGTAAATGGTCCATACAAAAAAATAGATGGATCAAATAATTATAAGATATTTATTTTATTGCATTTATTTTTTAAAAAATAAATTATCTATTTTTATAAGCACACTTGTTTATTTTGTATTTTTTAGAGATAAATATAATAAAATAAAGATGTTACAAATATTAAATTGACGCACAAAAAATCATAAAAATAAATTATTAACACAGATTGCATGATGAAACCTACATGCCCAAACAAGAACCCTAGAATCTAAATGAAGATAGGAGAAAAGCAAATTCCTAATTTTTTAAACTCAAAAGAAAAGTTTAGGGAAAATGTCTCGTAGCTCAAATTTTGTGGCTCAAAAGTGGCTCAAATGGCCAAAACGACGTCGTTTTGGCCATTTTTATGTTGTTCTGTACTCAAAACGACGTCGTTTTGGCCATTTGAGCCACTTTTGAGCCACAAAATTTGAGCTACGTAGCATTGTCGAAAGTTTAGTACTACTGCACGCCATTAGATTACGGAAAAATTACCATTATAATATTTAAAAATTGTCATGCAGAAGTGGAACTATTTATTATTTTTTATAATTATTTTTTTCTAGTGTTATTTTTTCTTATATTACAAATCTCTAATTTTGACTATTTAATTTTTGGATAATGCTAGGGATACAAAAAAAATTATTAAATAAATGTGAGACATTTAATCATTTATTTAGTAAAAAATTTAAGACTTATAACATTCTTTTTAATTTTTTAATAGGGAGACTTATTTATAAGTCCTTTTTCAGATACTTATGCTAGGCTAAGTCTTGTGTAATTTCTTATAGAGTCTCAAGTCCTATTTAGATAAGAATGTATTCCATAAGATCCTACATAAACGTAACGTGACATGACACTTACATAAACGTAACATAACGTGATACCTACATAAACGTAACGTAACGTGACACCTATACGTAACGTGACACTTACATAAACGTAACGTGACACCTATATAAACGTAATGTAACGTATATTTTTCATTTCTCTGCTTTACTCTTTTATTTTGTTGAATTTACCTTCCTTTCGTTAATCTAGAATGCGGTCTGAAACTAGCCAGGGGAACAAGATTTTATTTATATACTTGACATAGTTTGATTTTGCTATCTAGTTGCTATGCTCAAAGACTCCACTCCCCTTCCCTTCTGCAGAAACTTTATTTTATTTTAGGTGTAGATTGACTTTATTGAGGATCGTGTGCGCTAAATGTTCAATACAACCGGACTGATTGATTTGAGAAATAGACTATTCCACAAACAAAATAATTCTGTAGAGCAGTTCCATCATGTGTGGTCAAATAGGATTCTTGAAAACTTTGAATATTAGGTGAAATGCCAAGGAAGTTTTTGAAGAAATGATGAGTACAGAAAGTTACCTCTTCAATTTTGAAGGCCTTAACACTATTGTAGTTGACGGAAACTTGTTAGATTCCGAGGTTTCTTTGCTGTCTACCTAACACAACTGTCTTGTATGGGAATGGTTGTCCAAAAGATTAGACACCAAAATTGATGCAAAATTGTTTTGAAAGCTAGCCAATATTATAAAGTTTATGTGATTCAATTAGTTTGAGCAGTTGAAGGATGTGGAGGTCATCACAAAATTTTCAGTATAAAATTTTACTGTTGAGAATGTCCCAGGTTCTCATTTCCATTTTTGCTCAACCATTAATTTGGTGTGTATAGGCACAGTCATTATCATCATTCCATTCTGAGAATCTTTTCTAATTTATTTCCATATCTCGATAATTTTTAATTTGATCTTGTGGAATATATTTATGTATGTATCACGTTACGTACAGGTGTCACGTTACGTTTATGTAGGTGTTACATTACGTACAGGTGTCACATTACGTTTATGTAAGTTTCACGTTACGTTACGTTTATATAGATATGATCTATGGTAACATTTAATTTCCTATATATGATTTTACTATTATTTATGATATTAACAACTAATATTGAGGGTAAATGTGTCAACAAACTTCTCACAGGACTTATGGGAACATAAATTTTTTAGTAAGACCATATGTAGCATAAGTCTCCCTAATAAGATTTATAAATAATTTTTCCTTTTTAATACAAAAAAAGGGCAAACCGTCCAATAAAGTTGCTGAACCCTTTCTCTCATTTTCCCTCCCGCTCTCTCCCCGTACAATTCGAAGCTCCCACAACAGGCACTCCATGTCTCTTTCCATTTTAGCTCTCTTACTGTATCTCGCTACCTAAAGTATTTAATTTAAATTTATTTAATTACTAAAAAATTTATGAAAAAAAATAAATGCTCATAAATATTATAAATTAGTAAAAGATCCTATCGAGTTAAGTTTTTATTTTAAAAAAATTTAAAAATAGTGAATTTTCTTTATAAGAGTAAAAGTTACTTTATCTTCTACCATGGCTAGGTGTTTGTTTTTATCTAATATTATGTCATATTTCGTTTATAATTTTTAATTGATTGTTTTTAAATTTTTTTCTAAGTTCTTTTTATAATTTAATTAATGTATTATTTTATTCTATTATTATTTATAGCAAAGTGCGATTATTTAAATTATCTAATTTTACTCATTTAGTATATCTAATACTCATATAACTAAAAAATCAAACTCTAATACTAATTTAAACACACAATTACACTTTTTTAGAGACAATACAAATTTATAATTTTTTTATAATATAATTTTAATTAAGTAGGGTCTTTTATTAATTTATAATACGTATAAACATATATTTTATTTTTGTAATCTTTTCAGAGACTAAATATGTTTGAATTAAATATTTTAAGAACTTAATAGATTCAATCGATAATTTAAGCACTAAAAAAACTTTGATTGATATACTATAAGGACCGAATAGAAAAATATGGAGATAAGAAAAATATGGAATTCAAAAGATTATAGACAAATTAAAAGAAAAGAAGTTTTATACAGGAACATCTAAGTGCTTATTAAATAAGTTCATTTTTAAACAATCAAAAGTTTTCAATAACTAAATTCATAAGCTGCCTAGAATCAACCTACCTCTGGAGATAATGTGTTGAAACAATCCAACACATCTCGAAAAACACCTCTCATATGTTGCAAAATCTCATCATCGGTGGTCAAATGCAAAACTTCCTGTGAATCAAAGGTAAAAATTATTGAATTTATAAGAAGAGTTAGCATTAGTGTAAAATATATATATATAGCATCAAAGTTATATGTTCTAGTTAATATTTGTACAATGGTTTAAAATAAGTTCTCATCTAACCTTAACCTGTCGTACAAGATAACACCGCAGACCCAAGAGGAACAAAACACACTCTTGGTCGGTAGACAATAGGACTGGGAGTGATCTGTCAAAATATGTCCGAGCAATCGATGGTACCAATTTATGAATGACCAACTACAAAGAAGACCAGAATATCTTATCAGATGTTTTAAAACTAGAACATTTAGAGCTGTGAAGGTGCAGCTACTGCTACCTGCCATAGGTACCAAATGAATGACCCACTCGGTGATTGCCGTATTTTAAATAGTTGATTGGGAAATGTCTATTTTCAAAATACACAACTAAACATATTTTTAAGTTTAAAAAAAAAAAAATTCTTTTCAAAACTAACCAAACCTCTATTCATATTTTGACTTCAAATTTTTAGTAACAAATAGGGTAAACTACATTTTAACCCAATAATTTTATATTCAATTACATTTTGATCTCATCATTATTTACACCGTGCCTGTAGGCACGAGCATACACTAGTACATATATAAGGAAGAATATACAATGAATTACTTGAATAGACAAAATCAAATATATTCATACACCTACTTAAATCATGTAAGATGTTCAACAATTCATTAGAATATATTTCAAGTTTCCACTCACCCACCTCTATTTGGTGGGTCCCCCGGATGAAAGCTTCAATTCTCTTTTCATCAGTCAGATTCTCCCAAGGTTTCTTAGCAGGCACAGGCTCACCTTGCTGGACCAACTCAATGTTGCGCCTCAATATCCTACACCAATCAAACACAATTAACTCAATGTTACGCCTCCATATCCTACACCAATCAAACACAATTAAATTGACAGCATCAAAAGATTGAGGTTCCATTATCAAACAACCTCACAAAAAAAAAAAAAATCTTACCTCAAGGCAAAAAAGTGATCAATGACAAGATATGCTAAAGCTCCGATGAATATGCGAGAGAAGGCTGTTGAACACATAAACAAGTTTCAAGCATTAGGTTCGTTGGATGGCTACACAAGCTTAAGATAAAAATACATATGCAAGAGAAGGCTGTTGAACACATGAACAAGTTTCAAGGACTACATTCATTCGATGGCTACACAAGTTTAAGACTTAAAAATAAATAAAAATAAAAAATAAAAAAAGAGTCTTACCTCTAAAAAGCTCATCAAATGAGCAGTTCCCGAAATGTCTAGCAACATGTGCCTCGTAATCATGTAATGGTATAATCATCACACATGTAATCTCAACCATCGACTTGTAATGCAGCAAGACAAAAATTAGCAATAAAAATGAAACTAGGATGAAATCAAAGATGCATTTAAAAGAAAAATATTTGAAGTGGTACCTTAACATGTCCAACAAAGAGTATTTTGAAGCCTCAACTCTCCCAAAGGTCCAAGTCCTCAGAGGAAGGGTTAGTGCAGACACCAATGTAATGTACTCTTCCTTTCTTTTGACGAAGTTGGGTAAGAAAATTGGCTTCCCTTTGTGGAACCTTACGACATTTTGGTAGATGTCTAAATTAGGGTGCTCAAACATTGGCTTGTTAACAAATAGTAATTAATTGAAATATGCATATAATATTATAGAAATCAAATGTATCAAATGAAACCCATTTAACCCCATCACATGACTGAAACATTAATTTGAAAATCATTGTTTGCAACTCAACAAACTCTACCAAACTATAGTAAATAGAAAAAAAACATAATCAGATTAGTTCAAACCTCTTCCACAACATCTTGTGCCATGTGTCCATTGTAGTACCTGTGGACATGCAAATTTAAACTAATATCAAGAATTTATAAGAGGATTCTTTCAATCCACTAATAAGGAATAGTTAAGCAACATTTCTACATGCATTATGAGAAAACATATATCCTTGTTGGTGCTACTTCATCTTCAAATTTAATGTCAAACATTTCTAACATACTTCGCTACTAAAATTTTATCCTACATAGAGGAAAATTAAAAATTCCCAAAGAGTATATCTATTTGTTTATTTCTAATCATGTCACGTTTCATATTTATTTTTTGGAATTTTGTTTATTCACACAAACCTGGCATAGACTGCAAAGGGGAGACACTAAGATTATATTCATATTTGGCAAGGCAAATGATTTTTTAAGGAGTAGACCATTTTGAAAAGATTACAGGTTCAAAATAAGAACATATATTTACAACATCCTCTTTCATTTCTTCTCCAGTTCATGGTCCTCTTTGGCACGCAGTTTGTGATTTTTTAAAATTATTATTACTACTCATTTAAGAATTGTTACTACTATTAGTAGTATTTGGACATGTCCTTCCATTTAGTAGCAAGTCATATCATTTTCTTCAAATATATATATGAACTTATTTGAAAGCACAAACCAAATCCATAGTCCAAAACACAGTAAGAACAAGTTGGCAAGATGCCAATACAACAAAATGACATCCAAAAAAACAAAGCAACTCCATCCTTAGAACAAAAATGCTTGATAGCCCGAAAAGGAGGGGCTCGAATGGCCCGAATGGGTGTTGGCTAGACGTCTGCCCGGACGACTGGGTGAAAACTTGTCTACCGCAGTTGTCACCTTTGTCGACTGTGGCTGTCAGTCTTCTCGCCGGACAACCAGCCGGACGTTCACCAAGATGAATTTCGAGCCATTCAAGCCAACCTCCTTTTCGAGATACCAAGCATTACTCTCCCTAGAAATACATACACTCCTCAAAAACCTCATGTTTACAATAACTATTGGAGATCGCACCAACAACCAAGGTAAATTGAGAACATGAACCAAGGCAACCCCTTAGAACACAATGAACAAAAACTCATCAAAGATGGCTTTGAAGATCAAAGTTGGCACAGAATTCAAATTTTGCAGACTATTGAGAAATATGCCACAAAATTCAAATTTTCATAATCCACACTCCTTCAAGGTTACAACAAAATCATCAAACAGAGTTAACAAAGATAGTGAAATTAGTTTTTTACCCTTGCTTATTTTGCATTACAGATGCTCAATAATGTGAAATGATAAAATTACCCATCTTCTTTCTCTCTCTCAAATGGTGTTGTGTTGATGCAAATGTCTTCGATCCCTTTTCCCCCTCTCTCTACTTTTGCTCTCCACCTCACATCCCCCACATTATTTATTCAACCATTGTAGCCCAACCGATCACCACCATCCTCTGCATCTTCAATCTCTCTATCCTTAGGGGGTGTTTGGTGGGGCTTTTTTTAGCCAGCTTATGGCTTCTGGCTTTTAAAAAGTTATTTTAGACTGTTTGGTTAAACTTATCTCAAACATTTTCTGATTCTAACAACTTATTTTAAGTCAAAAAAGTTGATTTTGAGAAGCTGTTCACCCATTGCTTCTGATTATCAGCTTCTGCTGTGGACATGTTAATTCACGGTTATACTCTTAGATTTTTTTATTTTTTATTTTTTTAAAAATAGAAAAAGACCCAAATTGACTATAAAATATTATTATTATTTTTTATGAAAAATGTAGACAAATAGTGAATAATAAAAAATAAAAATTAATTGAAAAAGCTACTTCACAGCTTATTTAACAAATACTACTCAGCAACTTAAATCTATAATCCAACAGTTATACCAAACAGATTAACAACTTCTGATTAAAGTCATAATCTATAATCTGTTAAGCTATAATTTATAATCTGTTTTAATAGCTACACCAAACAGCACCTTAGTCTCACTCTGCCAACCACTCTCTTACTCCCTAAAATTTGCCTTTCGTTTTTGTAAGCCCTTTCGCCCAATGGAGAACCACTGCCACCAGATCCCCCACAAGTCCAGTTCCACCGCCAAGTCCCCCACCACCACCGCCACCAAAATCTTGACCACCATCGTTGCCAGCTACTCTAGCCTCACTAAAAAATCCACCACCAGCTCCTGGAAAACCAAACCCACCCTCTAGTCTCCAACCCACCACACTCCCTCTTCCCCCCTCTTGCGTTACCTTCAACCCACTCCACTTGACCATGCCGTCTACGGCTGTCCACTCCACTTCCATTTTCCTTATCTCTTTTTCCCCTGCCCATCTCCCCCAAAACCACCCCCTACCTCCACAACCGTTAAATATACATGTATATGCCACTATGTGATTGGTTGATGAAATTGGAGAAATAAATAATAAAAGTGAAATTTATGTGAAATGTAATGAAATTCAAAATGCAGAAGCAAACCAAACTTCATTTTAGTGCATAAACTTCACAAAATTGTGCAAAAAATGCACATATATTAATCACTAAATTTCACCAGAGTCAATTAACAGCAAAACGGGAACTTCACTACTCACTGCATAAATTGCTGGCATCATAATCAAACCATCTACCTGACTAAGGACTCACTAATGGTTTTCTTCTTCTTCTTCTTTGTTTTTTTTTTTTTGGCAACGACATTCTATTGGCCGATTGCTAAGGATCCACTAATGTGAAGAAAAAAAATTTGAACTCCAATGTAAATTTTATATATTTTCACACATTTTTATACATTTTTTACCCATATACCAACGTTAACCATTGAGAAGGAGGACAGTGTAAAATGGAACAAAATTGCATACCTTGTCAAAAGCTTCAAAGAGGTTGATTGATATTCTTCCTGGAAAAATCAAATTGAAAGCATTTGAAACTTGAGCACACTTAAAATAATAATAATAATAATAATGAAAATGAAATGAGGAAGTGGGATTGTAAATCACCTCCGGTGCATCCGGCAATGCGAACACATGCACAACAATTCTAACACCGATGAGGGAATCGGAAGGCAGTTGCGGAAAGTATTCAAAAACCTCCTTTATCTGAACCCTGCTGTGTTTGGTTAGGGGATTTGGGGAGGAATTTGAAAAGGAAAAGAGAAAAGGTGTGTGAAACTATGTGAAATGTAAGTATATTTTTTTCACATTTTATCTACCTTTTTCATTTCCCTTTCCAAATCCCTCCTCAAATCCCTTAACCAAACACATAGGGGTCTTCTTCATTCGAATCAATACAGGCATAGCAGGGATCTCTCCCTCTAGACACACCTGCATATAACATCATGTTTGATAAGATTGGAAACATATGATATGATAAGGGAAAAAATTGACATAAATTTATATTTTTGAAGTTATAATTAAAAATATAATATGAGATATATTAAAAGATTTATAAATTATAATTAAAATATTATCATAATTATAACTAAAAAAAGGTAATGGCATAATTAAGATACATATAATACATTTTTTTTAAAGAAAAAAAATAGGTGTATGGTAAAATTTCCCTATGATAAATGATTAGTTTTCCCTGTTTTTTTTGTTTTTTTCCTTCTCTTTTTTTGAAGTAAAAAAATGGCAAATGAACAATTATTACCAACATTAAGAAGAAAAAAAAACAATTATTACCAAATTAGTGGTGGCTTTTTTAATCAATTATTACGAGGCATAGAATAAAATAACATGCAAAATATATATATTTATTTACAATTTATTTCAAAATTTAAAATTAATTATCTAAAATTTTTCTAAGGTCTTGTTTGGCTAGAAGATATTTAGCTAAAATAATCAATAAGACAAAATATTACATTCAACTCATAATCATTTTATTTTTTTTTCTCATAACTATCAAATCAACTACACAAAAAATAATTGTCATCCCAAACATATTTTTTTAGTCAAATTAAAATAACTAAAAAGTCAAATAACTAACTAAAATAATCTATTCCCAAAATATATATATATATATATATATATATATGCATTGATTGTTTACAAAAGCCCACAATATTACTTAAATTTTATTTTACTTTCTAATTCTTATTGATTATGAAATGAAGATCTTCATGTCATTCATGTAATAAAAAGAGTCTCAATTCACATAGACAAAAAAATTATATGTTACTACTAGACTATTTATTAATAATTTTTCAACAATCATTTAAGTAAACTTAGCTATTTAATAAGGAGATTTGAAAAACCTTAATGATAAATTTGGAAGCTAATCAATTAGTAAAAAAACTTTAATAAGAGTTTCTATTGACTAGCTCAATGCTTGATTTTTGGTTAGGTGTAGTTAGAGGGTGATTAATTAAATTAAGTTGTAATTGATTATGTAAAAGATAATTAGAATGCCACGACAGATTAATTAACCATAATTCATATGCCTTAGAGTAATTTTGATTAGCTTAATTATAGTGATTACATGACTGACCGATATGGTACAATGCTTGATTTTTGGTTAGGTGCATTATAATGCACATTCAGGGGTTGAAAAATATTTTATATTGTAAAATATTTTTTTATGTCAAATAATTTTGTTTAAAAATAATTTTTTATTTTTATTTTTTAGTATTTAATTAAAATTTAAAAAAATTTTACAACGAAAAATGTAATAAAGAACTAATTATAGAGTAAAATTTTTAAAATAATGATAATATTCATATAAAATTGAACACAAAAATATTGTGCAACGACACCTCATTGCCTCATTGCCACATAAGAATTTTTACTTTCAATTAGAGAATATAAATGTGATACATTATACCTATATATTTTTTGCCTACAAATTTTGGCCTATTCTGGACAGTGTATTAAAAGTTACTTTCTAATTTTTATCCAATTTTAGGTCATATTATTTTTTACATTTTTTTTCAAAAAAACTAAAAAAATCAACTTTTAATTATTTTTCAAAAAAACACCCCTTTGTTTAGAGTTGGGCTTATACATCGACATAAGAGATTTTATATATTTTGTCTACAAATTTTGTTTAGAGGTGCGCTTATATATCAACATAAGAGATTTTAAGAGGCATGTGGAACTTACAATAAGTTTTATTTTGATGATTCGAACATTAATTTTGTAGGACTTTCAATGTGTATTATTCATGAAAAAAAATTAGTTTGATCGGATAATCATAAACTCACTTTATTATATTTGTCTCCGAAAAATGGACAACAAGTATATTTTTAAAATAGAGCATTAATTTTTTTAAACACAACTATGATAAAATGAAAATGATACGATTATTGGATAGATTTAATTTTTTTTATGAATAATAATAATTGAAAGTTGTACAAAATGAACAAACCTGTAATCAACTCCACGGGCTCCTCAAATTCTCTAAAATTAAGATGTAAATATAAAAAAAGCCCAACATTTATGTTTATATCATTACTCAATAACAAAATAAGATAACAATTTAAAGCAATAAAAATAACAAATTCAAAATCTAATTCCCATCAATTGCTCAAATCAACCATAATACATGAATATATAAAAACAGTGAGGTTGGATATATATAACTCTCAATGATATTGACCATGAAAAAAAAAAAAAAAAAAAAACTTAACGACATTTTAAATATAAATTAATTTACACTTTTATAATGAAAAATATTTTACTTATTTTTTAACTAATTAAATAGTAGAAAATTTATTTTACTCTCAAACAAACCGAGAGCCCAACTAAAAAATTATTGTACTTGACAAAAAAATTAAAAATATTTTAAAAATTTTAATTGTAGTCATGAACTATAAAAGGAGGAGATTAAGCCCTCATTTGACATGAATATTTTTGGGGTTAAAAGGTTATTTTAGTCATAAAAAGATAAAATAGATTAAAAAGGAGTACTGCTATTAGCACCTACCAAAATTCTTTGGACCCCCATTTCTTTGGACCCCAATTCTAAACCCTAAATTTTAATAATATTTTTTTGGACACTCCACTTATTACCAAATCTACCCATATTCATAATATTTTCACAATGAAATGCACACCCACCTAATTTTTCATCCATCTCCTTCCCTGACTCACTCAATCTTCAGAGTTTGGAGCTTTGGTCCAGTACAGCTCCTCCGACCTCCCCATTGCGTAAGGATGGTAATTCACTCTCATACCCTTCTTCACTATTGTCCCATCTGGCAACACGTCGTTCTTTAAAGCTTACTTTCCGTCAATGGGGATGGGTGGATAGAGTGTCATGGTCTCGCTCAGCGACGCGTGTGTGTAAACCATGTCTTTCACTTCTTCGTAGATTGGAGCTTCAGATTTTTCATTGATTTCTTTGAGAATCTCAGTTTCTACATCTGGGTTTTTGGAGACAAGCTAGAAGAATCAGATTAAAGCAGCCGAGGTGGTGTCACGACCCGTTAGTATGAAGCTGATGACAATGTCGATGATAAAGTTTTCATCTAAATGCGCTGAATTCAAGAATCTTGATAGGAGATCAGCAAATTTGAGTGATGATTTTGAATTTGTTCACCACTGTGTAGCCGAAAAAATATATTTTGTTCAGAACTGTTTTGTCGAACAATAATGATCTTGTCAGCACTGTTTGTCTGAACAAATTTATTCATCACTGTGTAACTTGAATCCATTCCAATTCACAACTTAAAATAACATGAATTAAATACATTCAAAATACATAACTTAAATCCATTCTAATTCACTCTTTTCCATTCTAAGTTAGTTTAACAAAGAAAATTACATAACTGACTATCTGCATTAATGTTCGGAACCTATGTATTGAACGAAAGGATTATGTTCAGTACTGTATTACCGAACATAATTCTAATGGTCAGCAAATCAGTACCGAACAGCTCGAACCAAACAAGAACGACTGAAAACGGCCGAGAATGTTAATATAAGACAGATAAACTTATTAATGGAACGTCGGTCTCACTAGAATTGTTGTCCTCGTCCTCCATTGCTCTACACAGTGAAATAAGTGATGAAGTATACGTTATAATTGAAGCAAAACTTCCAAGTTCAATAGTGTTGATGATGGTGATGAAGATGACACATTCAGGAATTAAGATGATTATGAAAAATAATAGATTTAGGGTTTATATTAGTTGGTTATGAAAAGTAATAGGTTTAGAGTTTACAAATATGGAATACATATAGTTGGAGTTGGGGGTGGGGGGTAGGTGTCCAATATTGTAGAGTATTAGTTCTTATTGATAGGTGGATGTTCCATTTAATAATGTCTTTTAATGTAATTTTACTTTAGGGTATAATTGTAATAAAAAAAATTATAAAATGAGGGGTCCAAAGAATTTTGGTAAGTGCTAATAGCAGCACTCTTAAAAAGTTAATAAGATAAAATGCCATATCTAAGGCCTTATTTGACAACCTTCAGTTTTAGTGAAAAAAAATCAAAAAGTCACTATAAATTATCACATCACTTTTTCTATTTTTTTGAACATCTTTTCATAAAAAGTAAAAAAGTTACTAAAATAACATGTTCCCAAACGAGGACTAAACTATAATTATTTCATTTTTTCTTTTACAAAAATCAAAAAAACCAAAAAATTCATTCCAAACGAGATTTAAAATAGCCAAAAAATTAATTCACATCCCAAACGAAACCTAAATTATTCATGGATGCATTTCACAGCATCCATTAAGAAGTTGCCACATCAACAACTCTTCAAAACTAAGACTTCGTTTAAAATGTGAATAAACTTTTATTTTTTTAGTTTTTTTTATTTATTTATTTTTGACTATTTTAGCCTAGAGCCAAAATAGTCCTGTTTGAGATAATTTTTTTAATTTTTTAACTTTTGTGAAAGAAAAAAAGTAATGATTATAATTTGAATGTAATAACATTTAGCCTAAGGCGTTGTTTGGGATGACCTAAATAAGTGTACTTTTTGTTTTTTTACGAAAAGATGTGCAAAAAAGTAAAGAAATGATGTGATAAAAAAAAGATGAAAAGATGAATTATTTTTGAGTTGCCAAATTTAACTTAAGTCAGCCTCCGTTTGGGAAGTGGGTTGGCTTTTTGGCTTTT